TGCAGTCAAGGAGGAGAAGCCGTAATAGTGACATTTATCCGCTGATATGAAGCAGAGCTGAAGGATCTGTACGAGACAGGGCGGGACTAAAACCGTCAGTATTGCCAATGCTCACACTGGTGGAACCAATAATTATTCCAATTTTTTCAATTGGAAAATAGTGCATTTTCATTTCTTTTTCTTTCTTTTTCTTTTTTTTTTTTGAGCATTTGCTTTAAGACTAGCGTCTTTCAAAGCATTAATCTGAAGTAATGAAGAGTCACAAAATAGCAGCATCTGATATTTTAGAGTGGTTCCAAAATACTTCAAAACAGTAGCAACACTAGATAATGTAGCAAATTACAAAAAAAATTGCTTAGAATATTAAAGTCAGAAGACTGTTAAAAGGTATGCAGCCATTCTATTTTAGTCTACTTATATGTCCCCTACCTGCCAGTAAACCTGGTACTGAGCCTGGGACTTGTGATGGGGCAATGGACTGGGTTCCTAGGGGCACTGCGGTAGATGCCACTGGCTGGAAGAGTGTTCACAAAATTACTTAATTCTATAATATAAAATTCACTGCTCACAATGTCTATTTGATATAAATTTTGGCTTCACATCTGCAGACCCCCCTTCAAATAATCCTGGATCCGCCCCTGAGAATGCATGTAGAAATTATCTTAGCTGTGGCCAACAAATCTTTACAGTGTATTTTTAGCACTGTAACAAAATAGTGGTTGGTAAAAAAAATAAATAAATAACATTATAACATGTGGACATTATGATGTTCTTGTACTGTGGAAGTCTTGTGAATGGTCTTTTTTCATATGTGCTGAATGATCGGGTACCTGTGCAGGTTGTGCCTGGGATGCAGGCTGTCCTGGGACCACTGGTGGCACCTGGTGGGTTTCCCTGTGCAACATGGCCTTAAAAGAAATATTTTAGTTTCAATATTTTTCAAACTGCTGGAAATGCATTGACATAATAATACAAGCAGTTAATATTTCAAATGCAATGTGCATTGTAATGATATATATATAACAGCTTAAATGTTAATTAATATAACTGATAAATTGATTCTTATTTTCATTGTAAGTGACCAAAAATAATCTATTATAGTAATTAGTGAAAAATAATATGTTGGCATGAGCCCTGTGTATTCATCTATGTTATATTATTTTTTGAGTTACCATAGCAACTTGAGGGTCGACAATTTTCATGACAATCTGAGCTTGGAGCAAAGCATAGGCCAGCTGTGGGTTCTGTAGCAGCATGTTTCTTGCTTCGTTTGGATTGTTCTGGATGCACAACTGCAAAGATATAACAGATGTAATTTTAAAGACTTTATAAACCACATATATTTAATATTGCCATCCCTGGCTTTTAAAAGGTTTAATTTTGCTTTATAATGAAAAGGTTGTTCATCATTTTGGTTGAAACATGTATAAGTGGTGTTTTCATTACTTAATCAATACAAAAAATAAAAATTAATCGAATAAATCATTACCACCATGGTGTATGTTTTAACCACCTCACCTTCATCTGTTTCATGAGCTCAAACATCTGCTCTGGAGGTAAACTAGCCACTGCTCTTGATATAGCCTCTGGTGCTTGATCTGGAGAAACGGGATCACCAAAGGGGCTCTGAAACATTAAGAAGGATAGTAAGGTAATAGTCAATCACAGGGAAGGCAGGACACACAGCAGCTGAACAAGAAAATGGAAAATAGTAGCTCTGGAATAGGACATAATTAGTACAAGTAATAGTAGGATTAGGACCCACAACAGCTGGAAGGATAATAGACTTGAAAACTGAATGAATTGTCTGTGGATAGAGAGATCCAAAAGCACTGGCCAAGAGGCTTTAGCACTCTAACTGTCCCCAGTGGTGTGAGAAGAGTAAATAAACCACAATCAACCAAGACTAAAATTATGAAAATACTACAGTGCAAGATAACAAATACTGCTAACATATTACAGTGTTTGTGAATCTTTTTTACTAGTACTGAAATGAAAAAAATAAGTTATTCACAATGACACACTTACCTCCACTGGTGCACCACCAAGAGCAAGCTGCATATCTTAAATAAAGAAATAATACTTTTCATTGTTTTTTCGATAAGCAAATTTATCATACAAAATGGACTTCATCCATTATTTTACTTTATACTGATTTATTTAGATTAAAAAATAAATAAAATAGTAAGTTTCAGTACTGACATTTCTCATACTTCATTCGAATAGGCTCGAGCCTTCATTAGTGTCTTTCATATCACAAATTGTAACAAGGAATTCCACACTGCTTTACAGCTTTTTTTTTTCAAATCCATCTTACTTTTTAATTCATCTTTGCTAGTTTCTCCTGCAGCCACACCCACTCTGAGGGGTCTTCCGTTGAATTCTGTGTTATTCAGGTTACGCATGGCACTCTGCGCCGTCTCGGTGTCTTGATATTCACAGAAGCCATAACCTTTAGGTTTGCCTGTTTCTCTGTCATACACCAACCTGAAAATAAAATGTAATGCAATAACAGGTTTCTTTTAGTTACCACAATAACACTGAATATAAATGGAAATGATTGCAACAAGGATGGCTGATTGAATCTGAATTAGGTAGAGAGACGCAACAGCATTTACAAGGATAAAAATATTAAAAGAAAATTTTATTGGTTTGCACAATGACTTAAAAGAAATAACATATCCTGTGGTTGTCAAGCAGTGATTGGATATCCAGCATCTAGTTTTTTTTTTTCTTTCAATTCTCCAGTGATTGCCTAAAATGGTTTTCTAAGTTGTGGCTGATTAACAGATTTTTGCAAATAATATTTTAATCCACAAACCTTATCAATTACAATTCACTATTAAGACATGAGGCAATCCTGACTAACATACCTAAAACTGACAACAGGTCCTGCCTGTATGAATATCTCTTTAAGTTGTTCTTCTGTAGCTTCATATGGAATGTTTCCCACTGTAAAAAAAAAACAAAAAAACAGGCAATATTCTAAATAACAATGACATTTGTTTCTCAAACATGTATCTCAGGTTTCATGATTACTGTACACTGAAAACCATTTACTGTAATCTAAAAAAAACTCTTATTTAAACAGTTTTGCTATGGTGGATCTGAAAATGTATTTCCAAATAACCAATAACTCATATCACTTAATAGCAGAACTGAACTTGAATAAGATAAAGCCAAATGTAAATATAAACAACTTCTCACTGTACTCAAGATAGGTAGATCACAATCCGCTAGGGGCGCTACAGTCGTAACTGTCCACGGGCAGTGAAGTGTAAAACTGAAGTCGGCCTGCTGACAGTTCGCCTATGGAACCCCTTTTTTAAATCTCTCTTTTAGCGCCGCGTAAAAAAACTAATACAAGCCATTAACTAAATAAGTTGTAAATCAAAGAGTAAAATCCGGTCACGTGATTTTCCCATGTTGCAGTCTTTGACAAGTTTCGGTTCTGCTTGTTTTAAGCTTTGCCTCTACAAAATGATAAAAAATTTCAGGTAA